CTCGCCCACCTCGTCGCAGCGAGCGAGCGAGGCGGCCCACCACGTCCTTCAGGAGCCCGATGGTTGCCTCCTCCTGGAAGTCCCGCGGGAAGGTCTCCGTCCACTCGGCCAGCAGCTGGAGCAGTTTGGGGCCAAACTTCCGGACCCGGGCCTGCAACATGAGATCCCCCGAGCTGATGTTGGGGATCGCTTCCTGGGAGGGCTGCAAGGCAAGGCGCCGGGCACCCACACCCCGGGGGCTGCCCCACCCCCGAGCAGAGGGGCGCGCACATGGGGGGGGGGCGGTCATCTGTTTTGCCAGGCGTTCATCCCATTTTTTGTGGTGACGCGTCTGAGTTGCCTTTGGAGTCTCCCTGTTCCCAGCCAGTGGGGTTCAGACTGCGGAGCCCCCCAGTAGTGGGCGCAGACCAGTGCTGGCCAATCAGGGCAGGGCACCCCTCATCCTGCACAGCGGGTGACTCACAGGCGGTCATGTGCCCCCGGCTAAGCCAATAGGATCAGGACTGTCATGGGCCCTATTGCGGGGCAGGTGAGCCTGGAGCACAGGGGCAGGTCAGCTAGCGGGTCGGACCTGCTGGAGCAGGAGCGAGGGCCCGGAAACGGAGCCGAGGGCTGGGGGAGGGGGGAGGACGGTTCATGAAGGAGGCCATGTGCACCCCTGGGCCCAGCGGGACGTGAGCTTTTGCATTTACAGGAGCCAGTGAGGGCCTTTGCCTTAGGCCAGTTGTGGTTGGGTTTCCATCACTGCAGCCTGACACCTGCATGAACAGTCACAGGTCGTGGGTTCAGGGACGGGCCCAGGGAAGGCTGGCCCACAGAGGAAGGGCGGGGAGGGGAGTGTGCTGGGGGCAGCAAGTCCTATTGACGGGCTCTGGGCCCGGGTCTGGGCTTGGTGTGAGCTCAAGGCTGGAAGGCAGTCCCCTGGGTGGGAGATGCCAAGCCTTCCCTCTGGCTCCGGACCTCAGGCCAGTCGGGACCCTCCTGTGGGCTCTTCAGGGGAATGGGGACAATGGCTGCCTCTCCCAGGGCTGATGTGGGAGGGCCTGCAGGGCAGTGCCAGGACAGCCAGAGGCCCTCACCTTGTCCAGCCCTGGCTCGTCCAGCTGCTGCTGCTCGATGCACAGCTGGCAGACCCGGGCCAGCAGCTCCCGGGGCTCGATGAAGAGGCGGGAGCTCAGCAGGAAGGTGAAGATGTAGGTTTTCTGGGGACATGGGACAAGGGGGTCTGTGTTCACCTGCTTCTCAGCCCGCCCCCCGCCCCGC